TCAACCTAGAGAGTCTGAGGGAGAAAGAGACAAGGAAGTTGATTTGCTGTTTTTCGAAACCTACTTCTGATCATACACAGAAAGCATTGTGTTATTCATAAGTAGAAGACCCAGACTTCAGCTATGTGGTTTCATAATTCTACATATACTTCTATTTATTTATATCATCTTATTTCTGAATCCTACAGTCTTCAGTTATATGTAGTAGACCTTTAACTGAAAATATGCTGTTTTAAAATACATTTGTATGGTTTGGTATAACATATAATATTAATAGATTTTTCGGAAAATATGACTTCCCTTTTATTAGCTTTAGATACGTAATTCAGATCTGCAGCCACTGTTTTAGATTGTCTTCCCATCCACCTGACTGACAGAAACCTCACCCCGACAGAATCCACCAATTTCGAGAAATCCCACTTTGCTGCCATTAAATGCCATGTTGGATATCTATCTATATTGAGAACTCAACATTGCCTGAAACGGTTATTTCATACTTCCTCCTTAAAGCTCCAACAACTTTTTTGTGTGTGTTTTAGCAGAAAGCTTTGCTTAGAGAACTACCTACTACATAGAAAAATATTAGCAGTTTTTTTTACAAAACTCATATTTTTGCACTACAAATTTACTTGGGTTTATGTCTTTCCACTTCTCTTTTTCCTATAACAATCGAAAACATACTTCAGCTTCTGTCTGAGGCTCCTCTCACTGTATTGATCTGAATTCCAACTCTTCCTGTCTTCTCAGGGATCTTGTATTCCTTCTTTGCTGGCTCTCTGCTAGCTCATTAATTCCCATAGCCTTTTAAACGTGTACAAGTCTGTACCAGTCAAAAGAAAAAAGCAAATGTTTCCAGCTTAATCTTTCTGTCTACCTTTACTTTCCTCTACTTTGTGTATTCCTTCTTAAGCAAATTGCCTCTGTACATACTGCCTCTCTTTCCTCATACTCACTCATTCCATAATCTTAAATCGGCCACCTCTTTCCTACCCTTTCTCTGACGCTCATCTTACTGTAGTGTTATGTCTTTTAATGTAGTTGCCATCCTTCAGTCATCATCTCTCAATGTGTTGCAGCACTTGTTGGAGGATTTCTTTTAGATATGCCCTCTTCTCTTGACTTTCATAACAGCACACACTCTAGCTGCATTCTCCCTTTCTGGTTGTTTTTTCTCACTTGATTTATACTACTCTCTGCTTCAGTGGCTTCCCTTGCTAATCCAGCTTTATCTCTAAACATTCTCTCCCTCTTAGTCTACATTCTAGATATGTTAGATGTTTTTTTCTGTTTCTAAAAGGTATTCTGCTTTCTTTTAACCTTCAAGATGTTATGCATACTGGTTCTTCACTCTAGAATGTTCTCCCCTGCCCACTTTATGGCCCAGATTACCCTTTGCTTGTCTAACTTTTGTCAATTTATGTCCTTTCCTTTTGAAGTCCTTTAGTGACTCTCTAAATTAGATTTCCTAATTATGTGCTCCTGCAGTACCCCTTCTTCTAATATCATAAAAATGCATTGTTTTGTTACATTATATATTTAGATGCTCATCTTTTCTGTAAGTGGTAGACCCTGTTTTGTTTAGTTGACCATTATATGTCCACAGGTGAAAGAATAAAAATCATACATTACCAAAAAATCACACATTTTCTTTAATGATTTTTGCTCATTTATATTCAGAAAACATCATTGCTTCATTAGGAACACTTTTTGTTTTTTTTACATTTTTAAGCCAGTGAATTTTCAAGTTGAGTTCAAATGTTCCTACAGGATCCCTCACTTAAAAGAATATTTTGTACAAAAAACGAAATTGCCCTTTGACGTTTCTCTCCGTGAATGTTGTAGGGCATTGTAAGGCAGGGACTTTTTCTCTTCCTTTAGCACTGCATAGATTTTTGAATGAACTTAAATTGGCCACAAAAATGTGTGAAATATTGGAAATTATTTAAAACATGTGCTTCTCACATCTCAATAAAGAAAGCTGTAACTTCAGACATTACCTAGCTACATGAGTAAATAACAATCCTCATTGTTTTGACCTTAGTTTCTTCATACATATTCTTCTATAGTATGGGTATATCAGGTACTGAAACCCATAATCGAGAAAAATACTAATATTATATGTTATACTTTTCCAAAAGTATGTAGTCTGTGAACTGCAATTTTACAAATGCATAAATTTGAAGATACTGTGTATTTAATCGTCTTTGAATTCCACAGAATTAAGTAAAAATTATCCTTTTGTGCAAATTGGAAATCTTTTACTGCATACTTTTTTTGTAGCATAGTAGAATCTCACTGGTATTCTAAGTTATTTTAATTTTGTTTTCAGTTAAGGACCAAGAAATGTGAAATATTCGATTGGGAAAGAAAATATTACTGACTTTATCTTACTTCACATTTTAAAAAAGGCTTAATAGTGAATTTGGAATCCTTATGTTGATGATGTGCAAATCATACTTTAAATATTCATCTTCTAAAGTTACTGATTTAATAAAAATTTGTATTTTTTCTTCCTATGCTGTAATATCTGTTATTAAACTAAGAGATTTAATATCTTTATGTCAAAATCAAGTATTCTTCCTTTTTATTTGGTTTCTAGAATGTTGGCAGTAAAGTTTTTTTTTCTTAATTAAGATATGGAGTTTCCTTTGATTTACTGGTAGACATTGGAAAAAAGAGAAACACAGTGTATATCAGTCATAACTGGCAACAATGATTCCCACCAGCAGTTCTCATCCTTTCACCCATAAAATCAGCATAAAATTGACCTAACATTGCCAGATCAGATTGAGTATCTGGAAAGTAATCCTCAGGGAACAGAAAATTCAGTCTTTGTGCGTAAAGTTGTTGAATCGGATTATTTTTTTCAGAGCCCTTTTGTTTCTTCCTTTGCAGTACTTCTGAAAAGTTGCTACAAAGATGTGTCAGATGTGGTCCAAATCTAATCACATAGGCAGTAACGAAGTTAATCCATTTCAAAATATGGATACACATGATTATAATAATTTTTTGAGTGCTGGAGGGTAAATTTAATTTAATGAAAATAGCTGGGATATTTTCTACTTTGTGATTAAACCAATAGATGCATTCTTCATGTACTTATTTGTTCTCCCTCCGAAAAAACAGAGTGTACAGAAAAAAAAATGGTAGTGAGGAAAAGTCAGGCAGCAAAACATATTTAGGTAAATGCTACAAACACAAGTGCAAACTGTAAGCTATTCGATAACATAAATATCCTTATTTAAGACAGTTGTAAGAAAGTTGTCACAAACATCTTCTCAAATAGTAATTACAAAGTTGAAGTTACTTAAAAGGGATATTTTAAATATTCACATTGAAGCTCTGTAATTTCATTATTCACGAGAAAGAACTGTTCTGTATTTCTGCATGAAGATTTGTTTATGTAGCCATTAGTAATTATATTACTTTATGAAGATAAAAACTTTCATTTAATGTTTTATGAAAATTCTGTCATACGCCTTTGTTTTATGAGATTCAAATCTTAGCAGCTACCATTTTGGTAAAACTGCCATGTAAATATATGTCTATTTTTTTAACTGGGAACGTAATTATCCACAAGACATTTATGTTTGAGTGTTTTTAGGTGATATGTAATACATTCCACATTTATTTTAGAAATGTATACATTTTGTTTTATATGAGGATATAATCATTTAATATTACCTTCATAAATTTGTAATGTATTATTCTTATATAAGATGTTTTAAATTATTGATTTTATTATTTATATGGAAACTTTTTAGTCCTTAATAAATAAAAAGTTTAATTGTCGAAAACTTACTTTTTTCTTTTTAATTTAAAATACCTGAAAAACTTCTGTAGAACTTAAGTATAAACACAAGAGGAGCCAGCTCATGCTAAAAATGCTGCCAGACATTTATTGAGTTTTGGAATTAAAAGTTTTGAAATATATATGTATATATACTTAGATCATATTTTTTAGAAAATGGTATGAAGTATTGGAAATAATGGAATCAAGCTGTAAGTTTTCACTGATTGGTACATGAAGTGTTGTCTTTGAGCCACAAGTCTTTTTACTTGGTGTGGAGTTCAAACCTTGTCATATGGGTGGTACTTGTTACTCGTATTAGTCTTATCTTGGGCTTTCAAGTTTTGTTTTGTCCAGAAGAAATAATCCATTATTCACTATCCCTTTAAAACACATCTGAAGTGTTCAGAAGTTTATTTTTAACAGAATTAAACCATAAATATATAACTAAAATATTTATTAGTGCTTACTAAACTAAGATATTAGCATTTTATTGTGTAAAGTAGAAGAGAAATACTGTGAGAAACAAAGAAAATGAAAAACAGGTGTGAATATTTGTAAAACAATATTGGTTTATATATATTAATTACTAGATAAAACATGTTAGAAAAATTTCTGTGAAATGCCCTGCAAATATCAATTGTATTTTAAATGAGCTGCTTTACCTCTACTTACCAACTTACCTATTACTGCAAATGTGAGATTTAAAAACTGATAGAAGGCAAATATTATTACAGTTTTTGTAAATCTTAATTGGAATTTTAAATGGATATTTAAGGTGTATTTTGGTCTAGTCTCTGAGGGCTATATTTTATTACATACTTGATACAGTTATATTTTTCTTTTCAAAGTAATACCAGTATTTTAAAAGTGTAGTTAAAACAGAAAATTCAAAGTTTAAAATCTTAAAATCTAAGATATGTAAAAAAAAAGTGAGTTACTAAAAGAAATACAGTAATAATTTTTAATAACCTGACCAAATTATTAGTATCATTTATTTCTATTTGAAGGTCATTACATTTCTTAAAAAGTCAAAATATTTAATTATAGAAAGGAAAAGAAGTGAATGTCATCAATTATAAATGTTTAAAGAAAAATTTAAATGTTGTAATTAAAGTAGCTTTGACAATTTTAAGAGTGCTTAACCAAGACTGTTCCTTTAAATATGTTATTTTGCTGCTGTTTAATTATACATGTCAATTATTTACAGATCCTGTGGTATTGTGGAAATTCCCAGAGGACTTTGGAGACCAGGTTGGTACCACGTAATTAAAAAAAAAAATTGAAGTATTATGATTGTTGCTACTATTACTGCTGCTGTTGCTAGTGTAACTACTAGCAAACATGGATTGCTAAAATTATTTTCTCTTGATCAACTGGGAGAAAAAAATGCATGTGTGCAGAATATATGGAAGAATCTTTTAAAGTTACCAAGTAGATGGGTGATGAAGAAGTCCTTATATTGAAACTCATAGGGACTAGATGTTTAAACTTTCAACATAGTTTATACTTGTTTAATTTATCTATAGAATATATCTTTGAAAACATTAAAAACAATAAAAGGTTGACAATGTGAAATCTTTGTTAAATATACTCTTATTATTTCTGTGTACTTAGAAATAAGTGTTACTGCCATAAATAAGTGATCTGTTCTCTCCTTGTGACAGTAATATTTGAGTCATTTACATATAGAAGTTGAATTATCACTATTTTTTCATTTTAAAGTAGTTCTTACCTATAGCTTTACTTTCTTTAAAAAATATATCATGCAAGACAACTAGATGAATTTATTTCATTTGCATTTTATATTATAGTCTTCTATAGTTCCTCAATATTTAGTATGACCAAAATGATGAAGTAATTTTATACGATATATGTAAATAGAAAAATCATTTAAACTTTGTTATAGATTTATCATTTTGATGTTGCTTTATATATAATATACAGTAAACAATACAGATTTAAGGATTTTTTTGCCAATTATTTTTTTGCTTTTTTAAAAATTGACACGGCCGGGCGCAGTGACTCACGCCTGTAATCCTAGCGCGTTGGGAGGCTGAGGCGGGCAGATCACGAGGTCAGGAGTTTGAGACCAGCCTCACCAACATGGTGAAACCCCGTCTCTACTATAAATATAAAACATAGCTGGGTGTGATGGCATGTGCCTGTAATCTCAGCTACTGGCGAGGCTGAGGCAGGAGAATCACTTGAACCTGGGAAGCAGAGGTTGCAGTGAGCCGAGATCGCCCCACTGCACTCCAGCCTGGGTGACAAGAGCAAGACTTTGTCTAAAAAAAAAATAAAATTGACATATTATTCTACACATTTATAGGTACACTGTATTTCGATACATGTATACAATATGTAATGATGAAATCAGGGTAATCAGCATATCCATCACCTCAAACATTTATCATTTCTTTGCACTGGGAATATTCAAAATCTGCTCTTCTAGCTATTTGAAAATATATGATAAATTCTTGTTCATTATAATCACCCTACAGTGTTATAGAACACTAGAACACTAGTCCTCCTATCTAGCTGTCATTTTGTACCCATTAACTAACCTCTGGCTATCAGCCCCAAACCCTTGCCTGCCCTTCTCAGCCTCTAGTAACCACTCATCTACTCTACTTCTGTGAGATCAATTTTTTAAGCTTCCAATATGAGTGAGAACATGAGACATTTGTCTTTCTGTGCCTGACTTATTTCACTTAACATAATATCCTCCAAGCCCATCTGTGTTGCCATGAACGACAGGATTTTGTTCTTTTTTTATAGCTGAATAATATTCCATTTTGTATATATACCATATTTTTTAATCCATTCATTTGTTTATAGACACTTAGGTTGATTCCACATCTTGGCTCTTATGCATAGTGCTGCAATAAATATGTATCTCTTTGGCATACTGATTTTCTTTCTTTTGGATATGTACCCAGTCAGGAGTGGGTATATATCAACTTTCATGTTTGTAAATTGTGAGAACTGCATCTGTGGACTTAAATTATAGTAAGTTTCTGTATTGTGAATTTAACAGTGACAAGATTATCTTATCCCCTTTATTTGAAGACATAAGAAAGGAACTTGCTCATCAGGCATCCAGCAAAAAGTACTTATTTCTATCAGAACTTAAATTTGTATAATAAAAAACCTGGAATAATGTGTGAAGCTAGTAGGACAGAACATAGGGTAAACACTTCAGGATGTTGGGTTGGGCAAAGATTTCATAAAGAAAACCTTAAAAGCACAGGCAAGATAGGAGGACTGGTGTTCTAGTGTTCCATAACACTGTAGGGTGATTATAATTAACAAGAATTCATCATATATTTTCAAATACCTAGAAGAGCACATTTTGAATATTCCCAGTGCAAAGAAATGATAAATGTTTGAGGTGGTGGATATGCTGACTACTCTGATTTGATCATTACATATTGTATACATGTATTGAAATATCACAATGTACCCATATATATGTAGAATTATATGTCAATTTTTTTTTTTTTAAGACAAAGTCTTGCTCTTGTAACCCAGGCTGGAGTGCAGTGGCACAATCTCAGCTCACTGCAACCTCTGCTTCCCAGGTTCAAGTGATTCTCCTGCCTCAGCCTCGCCAGTAGCTGAGATTACAGGCGCGTGCCACCACACCCGGCTATGTTTTGTAATTTTAGTAGAGACGGAGGTTCACCATGTTGGTGAGGCTGGTCTCGAACTCCTAACCTGGTGTATATAGTGGGATTGCTGGATCATGTGATAGTTCTGTTTTCAGTGTTTTGAGGAACCTCCATACTATTTTTTTAATATAATGGCTATACTAATTTAAGTTCCCACCAACAGTGTATGAGTTCCCCTTTCTCTGCCTCCTTGCCAGCATTTGTTAGTTTTTGTCTCTTTGATAGTAACTATTGTAACTGGGGTGAGACGATAGTTCATTGTGGTTTTGATTTGCATTTCCCTGATGATCAGTGATGTTGAGATTGTTTGATGTGTCTATTGGCCATTTTTATGTCTTCTTTTGAGAGATATCTATACATCTCATTTGCCTATTTTAAAATTGTATTATTTGTGTTTTTGCTGTTGTTTGAGTTCCTTGTATATTCTGGAACTTAATAATTTGTCAGATGATTAGTTTACATATACATTCTCCCATTCTGTTGGTTGACTCTTCAGTCTGCTGGTTGTTTCTTGTGCTGTGCTGAAGCTTTTTAGTTTTATATCATCTCATTTGCCTATTTTTGTTTCTGTTGCCTGTGCTTTTAAGGTTTTCTTTATGAAATCTTCCCCCAACCCAGCATCCTGAAGTGTTTACCCTATGTTTTGTCCTACAGCTTCACACTTTATTCCAGGTTTTTTATTATACAAATTTAAGTTTTGGTAGAAATAAGTACTTTCTGCTGGATGCCTGATGAGCAGGTTCCTTTCTTATGTCTTCAAATAAAGGAGATAAGACAAATCTTGTCACTGTTAAATTCACAATACAGAAACTTACTATAATTTAAGTCCACAGATGCAGTTCTCACAATTTACAAACATGAAAGCTGATAAAAGTATGTGTTTAAAGCAGTTCATTCAGAAATAAGCCTACAGACATGTGATTTTGAATAAACATGAAAGAATACTTTTCTAGATGTAAAAGTAAATCTGAAAGACTTGGAAATTACACTCAAGAAGTCTGAAAAATTGGCGTGATAAATATTAATTAAATCTAGTACAACCTTTGACCATGGTTTCACATAAAAAGAGGGTATAGAATTATAATTTGATTTTAACTTTTTAGAGAAAGGATAGATTTATAAATATCTTAAGTATGTAAAGGAACTTCCTACAGTGAAGACATGGCTTGGGAATAAGAAGTTTGCATTTGTTCTCAAGTAGCTTGTAGTTAAATTAGAGCCTTGCTCACTCATTTTGCTATTCATATATGTGTGTATATATGTTTCTCAATTCTGTCTTGTCTGTTCAACCAATTATAAAACTCCAATTCCTGTTCAGTTCTTTTTTTTTTTTTTTATTTTCTACCTTTTACTTTTTAAACTGCCCCTGAGCATTTTTAGGGTTTCTGAAGACTCCCAACTTTGGGTTCACATGAAAGTGATAATATACTTGTCAGGTCCAGCTTGGAATTTTTAAATTTGGGGCTTAATTGTTGTTCTGTTTCTGAAACTGTGAGATCACTGGAACATCAATAAGCCCTCATATGCTTAGTGAAATACAGAAGCTCTTAACCATGTAATGGTGATGAACATTCATAACTCTTAGGATTCTAGTTTACAACAGTTCTTATAGCCTTCTTGAAGGTTAGAGCTGAAAGGAACTTTAGGTAGCATTTTGTGTATCTGTTTCATTTTACATCTAAAGAAATCAAGCTTTACATGGGAATCTAGTCAAGGGCCTTGAATAATCGTTTTGCTATACACTTTTTAGGGAATTTATTGAATTCTACAGAAGACACAAGTACTCTGTGTACATTTCTTAACCCTTTTCCATTTTACTGCTTTTCTCTACCAACTGCCTGCTCCTTAACTAGCCTTTTCTCTGGATCTGAGGCCACCTCACTAATTATAATCTTAAAAAGCTCTTTGTTTCACTCTTACCATGCACTGGGCTCTATAACTAGGTGCTTTATGTGCATACTTCATTTTATTTTTAAATCCTCCCAGGACTAGTGGGAGATAGTATCATTCCTGAACTGAGTCTTAAGTAAGAAACTTGCCTGAGGTCACAGAGCTTGTAAGAGGCGGAGCTAAGATTTGAAGACATGTTTGTCGGACTCAAAGGCATGTACTGTTAAATTTTTAGCTTTATTGTTTTTCTTCTGCTTGGAATGTGTCAAACTTTCCTTACTTATTTTAGCTCCCTTAAAAAAGATTATTTTAATAATTTTTCTCTTTGTATCTTTAGAATTTAAAAGCAATATGTAATTTAGTCCAAAGAAATAGTATCAATCCATTTATCATAACATGGAGTTGTAGGTCCCTGTAGGCACTGGTTTATTATATGCTTCTCTCAGTATGTTTTCCTTCTTTTGGCAATTGAGGAACCAGTGGGACAAATGACATGGCATTTCAGGAGCTTTGATTATATATTTTTTCTTTTTTCTGATACAGTGGATGGTTTTGTATAGGAGAGTATTGGGAGATAAAACTATATAAATGAGCTGGGTTTTGGTACAGTTTGCCTTGCTGAAGAGTTGGTCCTTCAAGTGGGAGAGATTTCAGTATGGATTGGTTGTGGTAGAAACTAGAGGCGAGGAA